AGGGGATGGGGCTGCTCCAGAGGCAGGGAGAGGGGATGGGGCTGCTCCAGAGGCAGGGAGAGGGGATGGGGCTGCTCCAGAGGCAGGGAGAGGGGCTGGGGCTGCTCCAGAGGCAGGGAGAGGGGCCAGAGATGCAGCTCCCACCGAGGCTGCAGCAGGAGCAGTTTTCATGGGAGAGGTGAGAGCAGCTGGGAGAGAACTGGGGCTCACTGGGGCGACAAGAGGAGCCACTGTCACTGCAGCAGAAGCAGCAGCCAGGCCAGGTGACGCTGGGGCTGGGAATCCTGGGGACACTGGGCTAACCGGGGCAGGCCCTGGAGATCCCGGGGCTGCAAAACCCATGGGGGCCTGCGGAGCTGGAGGAGGGGCAGGGGTGACTGGGCCCAGCAGAGGCAGGGCAGGGGGCTGGGGGGCCATGGAGAACACGGGGATGGCTGCAGCCGGGACCACGGGGGGGGACACGGGGCCCAGGGGGCCCGGCAGAGCCGGGGCAGAGCCGGGCAGCTGTGCCGGGAGAGCCTGGGCGGATGGAGATGGAGTCAGAGGTGGGGAATGAGCAGCATGAAGAACAGCTAAAGGAGAGAAACAGAGTGAGCCATGAGAGGAGGGAGGAGAGAAGGAGAGAAAGGAGGGGGCATGCAGCCAGCCCTGGCATTCCTCTGGCCTCTGTGCCTGGCTTCTGGCCCAGCAGGCACTGCCCAGCCTGCCAGGGTCAGCATGGACCAGGACATTCATTCCCTTCTAGAACAGATCTTCCCGAGAGCCCTGAATGGCAGGAGGCACTCCCTGAACCACCAGGAAGCTCCAGCGGGCCAGAGAAGCAGGGATGCAGCTCTGCCACAAGCTCTGCCACACCAAAGGGGCTGTCAGGACCTCTGTGGAGCCCCAGAGGTCTGTCAGGACATCCAGGGCTGCTCACGAGCCTGGGGACACCTCCCGGGCTGCAGGGAGCATGGGGGAACAAAGACCCACCTAAGAAGAGGAAGGGAAATTCCAATATAACCCACTGGCATGTGGAATTACTCCTGGAGTGCCCTGCGAGCCCCCTCCCTCCATCTCTGGGTGACAGGGGCACAACGCCATGGGGGTGGTGGGGCCAGGCCCCCCAGTGCCCCCCACTTCCCTGGGAGCTGTTAGGGTTAATGGAATGCAACCCCCAGGATGGCACACACTGGTTAATGCGGCACACGAGGGGTTACAGGAGGGTCCCGAGTACCTGGAGCAGGGGTGGGAGCAGGAACGGGGGCAGCTGGAGCTGAACGGGGAGAACAAGAGTTTATTAAGGCAAATCCTACTGACCAGGAGCAGCTCCCAGCTCCCCTGCCAGCTCCTGAGAGCCTGGAGAGAGCCTGGCCATTCCCAACACCAGCTGGTCATCCAAGGGCACTGCCCAGGCAACAGGCCATGCCAGGGCTGAGCTGCCAGCTCCTGAGAGCCTGGAGAGAGCCCTGAAATTCCCAACGAAATTCCCAATGAAATACCAGCCAGCCATCAAAGGGCACCATTTAGGGAATAGGCCATGCCAGGGCTGAGCTTCCAGCTCCTGAGCCAGATCTGAGCCTGGAGAGAGCCTTGATATTCCCAGTGAAATTCCCAACGAAATTCCCAATGCCAACCAGCAATCAAAGGGCACTGCTGATGGAAGAGGCCAGGGCTGAGCTTCCAGCTCCTGAGCCAGAGATGAGCCTGGAGAAAGCCCTGATATTCCCAATGAAATTCCCAAAGCAAACCAGCCATCAAAGGACACTGTTTAAGGAAGAGGCTATGAAAGGGTTCTGCTTCCAACTCCTGAGCCAGAGCTGAGAGCCTGGAGAGACATTCCCAATGAAATTCCCAATGCCAACCAGCCATCAAAGGGCACTGCTGAGGGAGGAGGCAATGCCAGGGCTGAGCCTGAAGAGAGCCCTGACATTCCCAACGTCATTCCCAGCACCCACTGGAGATCCAAGGGAGGGTGGTGCTGGTCCGACCGGTGCTGCTGGCCGGGGGAGCAGAACCGGCCCGGGCACGGTGCCGCCCTCGGGCCGGGAGCTGCAGAGCCCAGAGCCAGCCCCGCTCCAGGGATTTTGTCCCTGGGATCAGGGTCACCATCGTGTCCTGGACTCGCTGCCACAGCGACGCGTGCAGGAGTGCAGGGAATGACGTCCCTGTCCCAGGAATGGGCTCCTGAAAGATGCTTCTGACACCCTGTTTTACCCCAAACCACGGCACCGTGGGGAGGATGGGCAGGCCTGGAGCTGGACATCGGTGCCAGCGGGTGCCAGGACACTTCCTGCTCCAGGGAATGTCCTGGTGCCTCCTGAAGGAGGAACAAGTGCTGCCAAGGGCTGTGCTGGGCCCGGCCCGTCACGGAACAGGCCGTGCAGAGCTCTCCTCTCCAGAACAATCCTTTGTCCCTGCCTGCTCTCCCTGTTCCTTCTGGCACCATCTGAGCACATTCCTGATGAACACAATCATTCCTGCTTGTCACTTCTCCCCCACAATCCCCAGCTTTCCTTGGGCTCTTCTCAAACATCCCAAGTAAAGCACTCCCCAAAACCAGGGGATTTCTGCCCAGAGTCCCTCTGGATCAGCATGGACCAGCCCCACCTCCAGGATTTTTCCAGGGAACAAGATGAAAATCCAAGGAGTTGCCTGAGGAATCCCACGACACCATCAGAGACTTGAGAGCAGCAGAATTTTGGGAGCTGTCAGCTGAGAGGGACAGAAGAGCCATTCCAGGGAGGGGGCCCCAAACAGGAATTCCAGCTACGCCGGGAGGGATAAGGAGCTCAGCAGCTCCTGGGAATCATCGGCGCAGCTGTCACAGCAAGAGCCATCACTCAGTCCCTCCTCGTGTCCCATCTCTGTCACCAACCCTCAGTGGTGGCCCCCCGATGGGACAGTGTCCAAAATCCTATGAGAGACCCCCAGATTCAATGAGGCAGATCCCCAAAATTCAGTGAGAAACCCCCAAATCCAGAGGGACAGATCCCAAATCCAACAGGACAGACACACAAAATTCAATGAAAGACCCCCAGATCCAGAGGAACAGACCCCCAAAATTCAGTGAGACCCTCAAAATTGAATGACACACCCTCAAATCCAGTGGAGGAGACACCCAAATCCAACAGGGCAGATCACCAAATCCACTGGAAGACCCCCAATTCCAACGGGGGACACCCCCAAATCCAACAGTTCACTCTCAGTTTGTGTGATAACACCCAAAATCCAGCCGAAACCAGCAGGAAAATCCCCATATTCAATGGGACATTGCCCCAAATCCAACAGGACAGGCCCCCCAATCCAATGGGACAGGCCCCCCAAATCCAACGAGACAGGACCCCCAAATCCAATGGGACAGGACCCCCAAATCCAAGGGGACAGGACCCCCAAATCCAACAGGACAGGACCCCCAAAACCAACGGGACAGGACCCCCAAAACCAACGGGACAGGGCCCCCAAATCCAACAGGACAAGGCTCCAAATCCAAGGGGACAGGGTCCCCAAATCTAATGGGAGAGGTCCCGAAATCCTACACCCCGCCCTGGCCACGGCCGCTGTCCCCGCTCCCACCCAAAGCAGGCTCCGAGCCGTCTCGTCCCCGGGATTTCGGGACACGAGGAGTCCCCGTTCTCCCGGCTCCGGTCACGTTCCCCGTGGGATAACCCGCGTGCTTCGGCTGGGAAACCACAGAACTGGCCCAGTTCGCTTCGGCCACAGCGAGACCACGGAACCGACACCCCAAAACCCCCGCGGGGGACGTGACAAGACTCGAACCGGGCTCACACAACCCCCGCCGCCACCGGGTCCCGGCCCACCGGGCCCACCCGGGAAGCTGCAGCTCCCCGCCCGGCGAGGGGATCCCGGGAAATCACCCCCAGATCCGCCCCCGAGCACCCTCCGGCCTCACCTGTCTCCGCCTGCGGCTGCGGCAGCTCCTGCTCCGTGGCCGGGACGGTTTCTGTGGCTTCGCCGGGCATTTCTACGGGAATGGACAAACCGACAGGCTCGCCGGGGCTCCGGGACAGCGCGGGGGCCACCACCGGTAACTCGTCTTTCCCACCCCGCAACTCCCACTACCGGGAGAGTCTACCAAGACAGCTCGGCCGCACGGCACGGGCAGAGCCCGATCCCGGTCCCGGGCCTAGGCCGCCTCCTCCCCTCCCCGCGCCGGTACGCGGGGCTGCCCCCTCCGCCCTGCCCGGCGCGCCCACGACCCCATCGATGGCCTCATCCGGGTCCTCCCTGCCACCCGCTCATCCCGCTAGCGGCGAGCGGCGCCCCGAGTGGCGGATGGCGGCGGATGGCGGCGCGGGACTCACTGTGCGGGGAGCGGGGCCCAAGATGGCGGCGGAAAGAGACCGAGAGGGCAGCGCGACTTCCGGGAGTGCGGCACTTCCGGGGCAGGGGGAGAAACCGGCAACACGGTCCGGCCCGGCGCCCACGGCCGCGCTCCGGCGTTCCGGGCTCTGCTCGGGCCGCACCGCGGGTGAGGGGAGGGCCCGGGGGGGGCTTTGGGATCTTCTGAGGGGCTTTGGGATCTTCGGAGGGGGGCTTTGGGATCTCCTGAAGGGGTTTTGGGATCCTCGGAGGGGGGCTTTGGGATCTCCTGAAGGGGTTTTGGGATCTCCTGAAGGGGTTTTGGGATCTCCTGAGGGGGTTTTGGGATCCTCTGAAGGGGGTTTTGGGATCTCCTGAGGGGGAGTTTTGGGATCCCCTGGGGTAGGGGGGATCCAGAAGGGATCCAGGTGGGATTAGGGGGTCAGGGCAGGGGGTCCAGGTGGGGTTAGGGGGTCACAGCAGAGTCCAGGCACGGTTGGGGGTCAGAACAGAGGGATCCATGCAGGATTAGGGGGTTAGGATAGGTTTAGGGAGTCAGAACAGGGGATCCAGGCAGGATTAGGGGGTCAGAACAGGTTTATGGGGTCAGGACAGGTTTGTGGGGTCAGGACAGGTTAGGGGGTCAGGGTAGGGGGTCCAGGCAGGGTTAGAGGGTCAGGACAGGATTTGGGGGTCAGGACAGGGGCCAGGCAGTGACCCCCCCAACATTGCAGAGCAGGGACCCCTCCCCAGCTCCTCCCCACAGGGAGGGGACCCTCCCCCACCTCAGCACGTCCTAGCACACGGGTGACCAGAACCATTTAATGGTGTTTGTGTAGAAAACGGTACAAAAGGTACAAAATCAGGGCAGGGACAGGGTTAGGGTTAGGGTTAGGGACCCCCCACAGCCAGAGGAGGTGACAGTGACAACACGTGAGACACTAGCAGTGTCAAGGCCTCAGAAATCTCCTTGAAGATCTGCAAAAAGGAAAAATGGGAAGGTTTTTCCAGACAAAACAAAGCTGTCACAGCACCAGGTATGGCTCAGCTCCTCCCTTGTGTCCCTCTCTGTCACCTCGTGCTCCCAGATCTGATGGGACAGAGCCCAAATCCAAAGGGACAGAGCCCAAATCCAATGGGAGACCCCCAAATCCAAAGGGCCAGACCCCAAATCCAAAGGGCCAGACCCCAAATCCAATGGGAGACCCCAAATCCAAAGGGACAGACCCCAAATCCAAAAGAACAGACCCCAAATCCAATGGGTGACCCCCAAATCCAAAGGGACAGACCCTCAAATCCAATGGGAGACCCCAAATCCAATGGGAGACTCCCAGATCCAAAGGAACAGACCCAAATCCAAAGGGTCAGACCCCAATCCCACAGGAGCCCCCCAAATCCATGGTCAGAGGCAGAAGGCCCCTCTTGGGGTCCTTTTGTCCTTTTCGGGGCACCCACCGCTGCGGCGGATCCGCTCTCCCCGGCGGGCGCTCTCCAGCCCCTCCACGAAGCGCTCGAAGAGCCGCACGTACGGGGCCAGGCTCGTCTTCCTGTAGTCTGGAGGATTTGGGGGCAGGGCCAGCAGTGGGTGCTGGGGACCCCCAAACTCCAACCCTGAGCCCCAAACCCCAAGCCTAACCCTCAAAACCCCAGCCCCGACCCCCAAAACCCCATCCCTGTCCCCACACCCTGTCCCCAAACCCCACCCACAACCCCACACCCCATCCCTGACCCCAAACCCCATCTCTGACCCCCATTCTGTCCCCTGTCCCCAAACCCCGTCCCCAAACCCCATCCCTGAGTCCCAAACCCCAACCCTGACCCCAAACCCCATCCCTGACCCCATCCCTGATCCCAAACCCTGTTCCCAAACCCCACCTCTGACCCCCAACCTGTCCTGTGCCCAAACCCCATCCCTGAGTCCCAAACCCCATCCCTGACCCCATCCCTTATCCCAAACCCTGTCCCCAAACCCCACCTTTGACTCCCAAACCCTGTCCCCAAACCCCAAACCCTGTCCCTGAACCCCATCTCTGAGTCTCAAACCCCAACCCTGACCCCAAACCCCTACCCCAAACTCCATCTCTGACCCCAATCTCTGACCCCAATCCCTACCCTGAACCCAAACCCTGTTCCCAAACCCCATCCCTGACCCCAATCCCTGACACCAAACCCTATCCCTCACCCCAAACCCTAACCCCAAACCCCATCCCTGACCCTAAACCCTGACCCTAAACCCTGACCCCAAACCCTATCCCTGACCCCAAACCCTATCCCTGATTCCAAACCCTGACACAACTCCTATCCCTCACCCCAAACCCAATCCCTGACCCCAAACCCTGACCCCAAACCCAATCCCTGACCCCAAACCCTGACCCCAAACCCCATCCCCGACCCCAAACCCGCCCCGCTCACCCCTCGTGCGCCGTTTGGGCTCCGTCTCGCCGCCGTCCTCCTGCTCGCCATCGCTGCCGGCCGCGTCCAGCTCCTGGCACAGGGAACTGCCGGAAGGCGGGGTAAGGGTTTGGGGTCAGGGTTTGGGTTTAGGGTTAGGGCTTGGGTTTAGGATCAGGGTTTGGGGTCAGGGTTTGGGTTTAGGGTCAGGGTTTGGGTTTAGGATCGGGGTTTGGGGTCAGGGTTTGGGTTTAGGGTCAGGGTTTGGGTATAGGGTCAGGGTTTGGGTATAGAGTCAGGGTTAGGGTGTGGGGTCAGGGTTAGGGTTTAGGGTTAGGGTTAACTTAGGGTTAGGGTTATCTTAGGGTTAGGGTTAGGGGTAGGGTTGGGTTAGGGTTAGGGTTTGGGTCAGGTTTAGGTTTGGGGTCAGGGTCAGGATCAGGATTTGGGATGTGCTGGGGGTCTCTGGCAGCACCAGCACCCCCCAGTGCTCCCCGTTTACGCACCTGATGGTGGGG